AAAAAAAAAAAAAATGAACTGCCCCCCACCTTGACTGAGAAGGTCCTGTCTTCTCCCAAGCCATCCTGCCCACAGATGAAACACAGTGACTCCGTTATTCTGTTGCTTACAGAGGTTAAGGGACTTGCTAAAGCCACAGAGCTGTCCAGTGTTACTGACATTAGGATTTAACAAACCCAGGAGTATCAAACATCCAGCACTATCGAAGCACTAGGGCAATATGTCTCTCTAAAGAACAGAAGGAAATCGAGTCCAGAGTTAGGTTCAGATGGAAGAAAAGAGGCATTTCCTTCCTTTCCAAGGTGACCACAGGAAGCCAACACTACCTAAACAGAGATTATAACTGCTGATCGGGTGGACTGACCTACATGGAGGTGTCAGTGTAGGCTGGAGGAAACCCCTGTCCCCACCACCCTCCTGGTACTCTCCCGCTAGAGGGAGGGCGACTTACAAATGTGCCTGGCGACTGGGTCATGTTTATTACGGGTCATTAAGTCCCTAATGGGTTATACGTACACTAACCTCCATAGGCATTTCTACCTCTGCTCCATGCTGCCAGCCAGACAAGAAAGCCGAGGCCTACTCTTTCTGAGTAGACCCCACACAATGTTCTTGCTCTGTCCCAGGCTTGGCAGCCAGCTGGGGGCAAGACCTGGATGTAGGAAGCAGACTATAAACCGAAGCCCCGAGCTGTTCTCCTGTGCTGGTTTCCACTTTGCTGTCTGCTCCTTGTACTGAATTCCAGCAGGGCATTAACAGGAAAGGAGTGTTTGGCAAGGCAGGAGGATATAGCCATTCCTTAGGCCCTGGTTTTGATACTAGCTTAATATGGTCAAAATCTAGGGGGACAATATAATCTATAATCCCTATTAGGAGGCCACTTTTGAGAGTGAAAGAGGGCATTATTAATCATGCCAGGACAATAATGCCCAAGTAAACTGGACGCATGGTCACCTTATCAAAACCATCAACACTTACCTTGGGTCCTAACCCCCTACCTTGATCACATAGAGACCGTAATTTTTATGTAATAACTAGAAAGAAAGCCTAAGTCCAATAGCAATAAATAATCATGAAACTTAGCACTGGTATATTCAAGGTTCTAAAAGAACTAAGACAGAAATAAAGACAGGAAGGCGGACCTACTCAAAAGTTCTGCCCATACCCCCTATTTTGTGTTTTCGTAATACCATAAGGCTTTATTTGTATAAAGCATTTTGCAGTTTACAAAGTACGCCCACAGGCATGTTCTTCCTTAACAAACCTGGAAGGTAGGTAATAGGTTGGGCACATTGACAAAGGCCACACAGCAGAGGCAGAACCTATTTCAGGACCTGGGCTGGCCTAGTGTCCTTCCCTACCCATGCTGTGTCCCCTCCGGGCAGCTACTCTGAATGAGCTACCAGATTGTGCTCTGGATCTAGAATACTGGGAGCAAAGGGGCCGAGGGGAGACAGTGGACCAAAGAGATAATCTGTTGCTAGAATCAAATCAGCTGCAAAGACGGTCATCACCACCGTACATATTCCAACCAGAAATATGTTTGTGTGCATTTATTTTCAAAACCATCAGGGACTACGTAAAAAAACTGCCTATTCTCAATGTGGTTTTCTAAACAATTTTCCAAGATTCTAATTTTATATGTAAATTAATTGGCAAAGAATCAAACACTAACATTTAAAAGTGGTTCTCAACAGGGGGCAGCACGTACCCTTGCGGGGGCATTGCCGTTGTGACTGAGGGGCAGTGGGGAGTCCCCTCCTTTATCTCCACTTCCTCTAGAAGTCATACATGTTAGTGGCACACAAGACCAAAGGTGAGAGGGAGGACAGTCCGTGACTTCTGACTCCCATACAAACCTATCATCTGCGGGACTAACAGGCTTCTGAGGCCCAGCCGCGGCCGGCGGATGATCATGTACTACTGCTCGCTGCTCTCCCAGGTCACAGTTGGCAGAACTCCTGGGAGTTCTACAGATCTGCAAAACTCATTTCAGGGAAATGGGACCTTGGTGTATTCATCAAAAACATCATGCATGCCTTACACACAAGAGTATGCCCTGACCGAGTCCACATAGCCTGTATACTGTGCCTACGGGACATGGATTCAGAAACTGTGTGGCTAATTTAGTCCTTTCTCTCCCTAGCATGTTGAACTCATTTCTTTCTTCAGTATTCAGACACTTTAGATAAAAGTGGGGTTAGAGAAGCACAAATAATCCCACTATGCACAACACAAATCAGAAAGTATCAGAAGATCTAAAGGACTAACCTGATTCAAACTTTTCCCGGTTTGACAGAAGGACTGTCTCCGAGAGAGAACTTTGCAAACTGCCAAAGACGAGGGATGTGATCTTATCAGGCCATGCCCACTGAACGCATTCATACTGCTAGGATGATCTGATGAGCATAATGTAGAATTTAAAGTACGATGCTTTCCCTCTTGATATGAAATGGTTCAGTTCTGTCCAAGTCACAAACATCCCCTGGGCTCCAACCATCCAACTAGACAGTAAAATACAGATGGCATCCTTCATGGGGGTTGCTTCAAATGGGCACCTGGATATCAAGACTGACTAAGGTGGGGGTGCCTGGGTGGCTCAGTCAGTTAAGCAGCTGCCTTCAGCTCAGGTCATGATCCCAGGATCCTGGGATTGAGCCCCGCATCGGGCTCCTTGCTCAGTGGGGAGCCTGCTTCCCCCTCTCCCTTTGCCGCTCCCCCTGCTTGTGCTGTCAAATAAAAAAAATCTTTTAAAAAAAAAAAAAAGATTGACTAAGGTGTGCACAGTATTGAGAGGGATGTCCTAGAGGCCCATAGTAAGCCACTCCTCTCTCAAATCAGCTGACTGATCAATGTTCTGTTGTGGAGGGCCGTCTTCAAGCAATGCATAGAGGGTCTCTAATCCCCAGCACAGCACTGAAAAATTCTTTTGCAGACAATTCATAATGAGTGGCAATCCACAGGAAGAGAGAGTCATTTATACCTTTAATATTACCTTTGCAAAATGAAGGGAAGCAGTGACTGTTTACGGGGGTGCGGAGGATATGGGAGACTGGGCACCACAGAGTTGGGGACACCAAGGAAGGAGTTAGAACTTGGGGAAAGAATGAGGTCTGGGAAAAAAAGGGTTTTGCTATTTTCTTATTTTAAGAAAGGAAATCTCACCCAGACAGAGAGGAAAGGAGACTAAGGTAGAAATGGAAAAGAATGGGAAATTAAGGAAGAGGTGCTTGAACACAATCACACTTTCTCTCTGTGAGACCGCTAAGTAGGCAGTAATGAAATGATAAAATCCTAACTCCTAGGGGTGAATCTCTCCATTTTGTTTTGTTTTCTTGTTTAGGGTTCGCTGATATGTCAGAGGCTGGGCCAAAAGGGCATCTTGTCTTCATGAGCGCACCAGCACTGCTCAGTACATGGGGAAGCGGTGCTCCCCTCCCACCCTGCTTAAGGAAAACCACCCATACACACAGCTGACGTAATGTGGGGACTAAAAGGCTTAAGTAGAAAGACCAAGAGTCAGCCCTTAGCCATGATTTCCCAAACCCACCTTTCTGCTGGTAAGAAACTAATGCCGTTTGATCAGCATAGTTGTGCTTGCGTTTGGTTGAGGACTCCACCTCTGGGGGAGGACTGAGAAACTCACCAATGACATGCCATAGTTCTGCACGAGACAGCTTCATGAGGGTCACAATCCTCACCAACATACCAGGGCAGGAGGAAATCCGTTTTGCAGAAACTTCAAAGCACGTGCATAATATACTGAGATCAATAAAGACCACAAAAGAAATAATACACCAATGAGAAAATAACAGGGATTCTTTATAAACGTGTATGGGATTGAAATTATCCCTGCCACATGTATATTTTCATTCCAGAGAATTAGGAGATTTACTTCCACATAACCTACGGGGACCATCTCCAGAGCTTCCCGTTCCCCTTGAATGGCCTCCTCTGGACAGAAGTCCCAGCATGACAGCAGTGGTAACTCTCGATTCCTCACACGGCCATGACCTAGATCAAGTCCAGCTGTGAACAAGAAGGACATTTTTAGAAAGGAACCAACTCCAGACCACTGCTTCTGTGGTGGGAGCCAGTTTAACAACATGGCTCTCTTCACTTCTGGTATAGCTGGACTTGGGCACCGACTTACTGCCAACTATCGGAGGTGTTAAATACCAAGTGTCTCATTACAGCACTAAGAACTCCACAAAAAGACTGAAAGTGTTTACTGGAATCAGCTGTCATGTGCAGCTTCTAGGTAGGAAGTCTCCACACATGAAAGAGGGATACAAAGCCAAACTTACACCACACCTCCCAGGCATCCAGACGTGGTACGAGGAGGTCCAGAAACACCCAAATGCCTATCAGCCCATTTTGTTTACATTAAGTTAATCGAGAACATTCAAGAATTAGGCTTCTGAAAGGCTGTTTTTATTTGTCAACCCACACAAATTGCATGTTGTATTGCCTATTTGGGTTGAGAGCAATTTCAGTAAATTACGACATTCTGCTACTAAAGGAATGGCCTCGCCAGCTCTTTTCAGTCCTTCACAGGAGAGGATTAAACTGAATGAACAATGTAACTGAAACCTGAGAGCACAGGAATTTCCATTATGAAATTACCTATCTGATTAAATTTATAATGGCAATAAATAATAGTAGAGGGAGCTTCTGGCATATCAGCAATTAAAACTCAAATAAGAAACAAGTCTACGATCAGCAGCGTTGTGGCTATGTTTACAGCTTGGCGATTTCAATCTGGAGAACACCTGGTATATATTAAAAGCACTTACTAAATCATCCACGTCACCACCTTCTGCAAATATGGCTGCTGTGTCTTCATTTGGATTTTCTTTAGGGGCCAGAAACTGTGAACAGAAAGTCAGGGACACCACGATGACATTTTTGCCTCTTTGGACGGAAGGCACGGTCTGCTAGCGGCACCACAGGCAGATTGAAGAAGGCTTGCTTCGCAGTCTCACTGCAACGGCCTCAAAGAAACATCACCTGGATGCACACGCCTTCCTCTGGCCCCAGGTGAGAGGACTGATTTTGAAGTTGAAGAGCCCACATTCCCTAGTCACCATGAGAAAGTTCTTGTGAAGAGGGAGGAAACGACACGGCTCGCCAAGGCAGTGACCCCATGGATGGGCCCATGTCAGGTGCAGAGGTCAACTGATATTCCCATTTCTGCTTCCACAGGGGATATGTGTGCTCATTAGGGTTAAGAAAAAAACCAGACTCCCCAAACCGATATGTCTTCTCTCCTGAAAGGAGCATAAGAACCAAGTGTTTGAACTCAACAATTAGAATCTCATTCCTCAACTCTGCAGAGGACAAAAGGAAGACTTCCTGTAAATGATGTGAAACACAAAAACAGGTGAGCTTGGGAGGCTGGGCAATTCCTTTTCTGGAAATCCTTCAGTAGTGTTAGGAAATGTCTGAAAAAGGAAGGTGGATGAGAAAGCTTCTAGTGCATGATTCTGCTCAGCATTAGTACTCTAGACCTGGAGCTTCTAAAAGACAGATGCGCAGAAAAGCAAGGGCCTTGAATTGGAAGTCTGCAAGGATCTAGGGATGAAATTCAGATTTTAAAAGGGTACTGGGTGCTCTTGAAAATCATATGAACACTCCTGCTCTCCGTCCTGTCCCTCTACGAAATAGCAGTGGGGACTCCTTTCCTCAAGGCTCACGGTAACTGCATCTAAGAGTTAGGTTTTGTCCACCACTTATCTAACAAGCAAAGGTGACCCATCTTCCAGTATCGTAACTACTTGAAATGGCAGCAGAGCCAAACCTGGAGGAATGTTTTTAAAGGGGAAGCTGGAAGGTGGGGCATCCCTCTCCCCATCAGCATTCCTCAGGGTCCGTGTGCGCAGAGCACGCACACGCTGAGCGAGCCTTCCAGCCCCCTTCTGCTCTCCCGTGGCTGCCTCCACCCAGGATGGAAAGGTGTACTTTTCTCACTACCTCAACATGAAAACAAGGCAAGAACTGCTTTCCCTATACATTCCTGTTATGGTACAATGGAAACCATTGAGGCCTCTGAAACCTAAGATTTACAAATAGGCTAAAATATATCTCTTTGACAAACCATGAACTAAATTCACTCTCAAACATCAGGCTGTGTGCAGCAAGTCTCAGGAAGCCAGGGCTGCAGGTCCTTCTGTGCCTCATGTCCAGAAACTCACGCACACAGGTTAACGAGAGACAGTGGAGGCTGCATCTGCAGAACTGGAACGGTGGACGTGGCCATGACAGTTTGCTTTTGACTCAACTTCCCTCCTGGACTTTGTTTTCCCTCAGTCAAAACCACCTCACCATTCATTAACTTCAGTTTTGACTGAGAGAGTAAGGAATTTATCTTCTTCTATGGACATTTACGGATCTCTCCATAGCCCCTTGTTGACCTTAAATTGGACCATGCCCAACGCTGGGAATCAATGGTATGAGAGACAGGAAATGCTAGCAAGGGGGGGAGGGGGTATAGTCTGCAACAGAACTGTAATGGAGCTTCTGTATCATTAATTCTATTTATTTACTTTGGCTGATTATTAATAAAGATATCTGAGGGCCAAGTATAGATAAATTATTCACACATGTATTTGCATGTGGTGTATGTCTAAAGACTAAACTCTGCTCTAGCCTAGACTCCAAGATATCTAGGATACCCTAGATTATGATTTTAATTATTACTAAAAGTGGTTTTTACTTTGGTCTTCTCCTCTTCTACTCATTCCATGAACCTGCATGATTTTCCCTATACTAGAAATGCGCTTGGCTAAAAGGTAAGACTTACCCAGTTTGGGTGAAGAGAATTAAAAGTAGAGCCGTGTCTTCCCATGAGCCTCTGCGGGGCCACAAATGACGAGCACTCTCCAAAGACCGACAGACTCCCTGGGCTCAGCAGTTCTGCCGGCCACCACACCCTTTATCACCCTTGGTAAGAGGATGCACGGTAGGCACTTCCAAATCTAGGAAACCCCTACCATTTCCTGGCACCCAGCCTCTACGAGCCCCCAACTCCAACCCCTCTCAGCCGCACAGCCCGTTTCACAGCGTGATGGCCGGATCAATGAGGGCAGGGCTGTGTGCACAGGGCGGCCATGCCACGTACAGTTAAACACAAACGGCACACCTGGCGACCAGGCTGAGTCGCTAGGAAGACAGGAGCAGCAGCAAGCAAACTTGCACTTCCATCAAGGGCTACACTCGTGCAAGTGATTTTCCTGACAGATCTGCTGCATACTTGCGCGTCAGCAATGACGGCTGAGAGCTGGGCTGCCATCCATTACCTCCCCAAAGCCCCAGGCAAGGCCGATCCCTTACACATATCGCTCGTCTTCATCAGAGTTTTTAACTACAAGTAATTTGCAGGCTGTGCAGAGTGACAGGAAGCCAGAGATACAGCAGAGAATTCAATGACTGGCCTCCTTTCTCAATGAAAGCAACAGATTCTCTGAACCCAACAGGAAGGGGCAGGCGCCAACTCTCATCTTTTCTTGTGTTCTTTCCCCTCTGCAATGCTCAGAAGTCGAGAACAAACAGGAAGGACACTGTGTGACATACTCCTCCTTCCTCAAACGACCAGGATTTACTTGGGGTTACCAAGAAAGAGTGTCCTTCCTTGGAGAGCTTTATGACATGGATGAACTATTACTTTGCAAGCACACTGAAATACAACCCTGGCCACAAGCAGAGAAATGGAGTCAATAATGCCTGTACAGAAACTTCCAGTCTAATCCCTCCAGAAGACTAAAAACTAACAATCAGCTTGTGCTCAGACCCTTACCAATCTCCAAATTAAAATCACATGGCTTCCACTGGGCTGACTCCAACACCATCAGGTGATTCCAAAGACTCACCCGTAATTCAGATGCATAAAAGCATCAGGAAGAACAAGTCTGTTTGCATGCATTTTGTATAGAAGGACGTACGTCTGAATTCAATGCCCCCGTATCTTAGATCACGCCATAAAGGCAGTATCGCACAGCAGAGAAATCCTACAACCTAACGTGGGAGAACAGAACCCTAACCTTAGCTCTGTTAGTTCCTCAGTAACCCTGGGCAAGCTGCTGGACCTTTCTATAATTAACAAAATGAGACTACTACTACTACTCACCCTATTTCATGGCGTTGTAGCGAGTCTCACACGAAATAGAGCATGCAAATTTGCTTTGTCATACTGTAGGTTGTATGTTCCAATTCCTAGGAAAATACCCAATACATGTCCACCAAGTGATACGTACAAGAATATCCATAGCATTTTTAGGGGCGCCTGGGTGGCTAAGTCGGTTAGCCATCTGACTCCTGATTTCGGCTCAGGTCATGATCTCAGGGTCATGGGATTGAGCCCTGTGTCAGGATCTGCACTCAGCAGGGAGTCTGCTTGAGATTCTCTCTCCCTCTGCCCCTCCCCCTGCTCTCTTTCTTCCTCTCTCTGAAACGGATAAATAAATCTTAAAAAAAAAAAAAGTATCCACAGCATTTTTATTCGTAATTGCTAAAGTGTGGAAAGAATCAAATGCCCATTGTCAGAATGGATAAATACATTGTGGTATAACCATAAAAGGGAGCACTACATAGGTTTACTAAAGAAAGCACAACTCTTAACATCATGGATGAATCAAAAGGTTAAGGACAGGCAAAAGTACTCTCCAGTGACTGGTGTCAGAAGAGCGGAAACCTCAGGGGTCAGGGGTTTCTGACAAGGAAGGGCACAGGGAGGCTTCCGGACTGATGTAAATGTTCTTTAGATCTGACTGCTGGTGCCCAGAGGTGTGAACATGTAAGACTTTATCAGGTTGCACATTTCACATCTGTGCATTTATTGTATGTATGTTTCACCTCAACAGAAATTTTAAAATTGTTTATTAAAAGTATCAAGCTCTAAACAAATGTGAGGTAAAATTGTGGTACTTTCCTTATTGCTTTTCTTTGAATTAGCACAGAGAACAACTCCACCCGAGATTTAAGGTGGAGAAGGAAAGTGGAAAAGAGCAAAGGAAAATACCATGGGGTCAACGGGGAACAGTAATTAAAGAAAACTATTCTCAAGAAATGATTCTTAAACTTTATCTTGTAAGTGCTCACAAGACTTTGGAGATCTCTTTAAAACTCACACACAGAGAACTGGGTGCACTCTTGCAAGAGGGACCTCGAGCATCTTTCCCATATGTAGATGTGGCTGGTGGCATTCTAAGGTGGAGGCGTGGGGCCATGGTGTGACAGGGGTGACTGACCTAGGTCTGCAGGGGTCTTGATTCTAGTCAATTCTGCTAGCCATGAATTTGCCAGGAGACAGTAAGTCAACGTCACCTCTCTAGACCGAGTCTGTAAAATGACCAGACTGCTAAACTCCTATCGCCTATGAGGCTAAGGTGGAAAATCAATGTCAACAACAATAAAGGCCAGATTAGGCAGCTACCAGAAACACTAGTGCTGAAAAGATACCAACCCCACCCCCCTGAGTTCGTATCAAATGCTTAGATATAGTTTGGCCCCTTGGAATCCTGTGAGGTACAACGCTGCAAAGCCACGGGGATAAGTCCTCTTTCCCCTCTGTGCTCTTACTACAGAGTAAAAAGAATGGAGGACCGGAGATCAGTCCTAGAACAGGACTCCTGGCCAGGGACTTACTAAGAGATCTCAGCCATGTTATTTTATTTCCCGGGACCCTAAAATTCTTCATCTATAAAATAAGGAGTTTGGACTAGATGAGTGTTTTTCAGGTTCTGTTCCTTAAGGTCCTGAAGGTTCTTCCGAGTCCCCTGTGCATGGGCAATCCCGACCTGCCGCACCCACTGCCTACCGACTGAGGAGCACCACCTTTCTCTGTTTCATAGATCAGGCCTCCCTGTAAGCTTTAGTTTTAAAAATAAAAACTCCATTAGAAGATCATTAGAATTCTTTCCAGCTGAATAAAATGATATACAACTTAAGCCAATTTCCTCTGCCTTAGTTAAGGATCTGGCTTGTTTTCATTCTTCTAACCCAGGGCTTCCCAACATCATTATCAACACTTTGGGCCAGATAATTCTTGACATGGGGGCTGTCCTGTTTCCTAGCATCCCTGGCCTCTGGTTGCTAGGAGTCAGTAGCAGCCCCTCCCCCTGTGGTAAAGAACTGACAGGTTATAGTGACAAAAATAAATGTGAAAGAGGGATCATGTTTATGTCTAGGCTTCAAAATGAAAGGGGAGCTGTCAGTGAATTTAAAAGAAAGTGGCTATTTAAACTCACGTTGTGGAAGAACTTTCTATTTCTGTAGCAGGACTGACTTACCTAGATTTCTCAGGGTCATAAAATCTACACTTTTCAAGAATACACCAGAGAGAAATGGCTCTCCTTAAGAGATGCAAGTGTAAAGTTATGATTTAATTTTCATTTAAAATGGACATCCCTGGATAATTATTTCCTTTCAAATCATCAACATTTAATAAAAATAATTCAACAGCTTGCTAACTTTAAATAACTTATGTAAGTGCCTTAGAAGACTTGAAATGGGCTGTGAGTACTGCTCTTCAACCTCTGATTATAGTCAGGTTTCCTTAATTAATTATACGGCGAGTGACCAAACTCAACACTTCCTTTGAAGGCGATATACATACTGCAGTGCACTGTTGTCAGAACAGACTACCATCCCAGACTGGGCTGAGGCGTGTCTCTCTCCTGGGAACCACAAGGAGCCAGCTTCTCTGAGCCAGACTCACCCCCAGTGATTCTCCCCGTCATCCCCCACGCTCTCTTTCACACTTCTCTCCAAAAACCTACAGGTGCCATTTAAAAACATTTTTAATACAAAGGATTTCGTTTTTCCCCTGGGAAACAAAATTTATGTTTTTAAACATTAAACAAAAAAAAGATGGCAAGTTCTGAGTTATCTTCAATTACAACCAGCTGAAATCAGTTCTGCTGACACTGGAACCATGCAAGGACAGTGCCCCAAAACTCGTCATTAACTCAAAGTCCTCTGCAGCTGAATGAACAGACATGAAGATTCCCCATGGTTAGGCTCTGTGCCCTTAAGTTCCAAAGAAGACACCACCTTTGCATCACAGAACAAGCCCCAGAGAATTTGCGAGAAGCACGTCATCCCTTCTTAGATTTCTTTCCTCTCTACTATTCTGGACTCACTTAGCTATGACACCTTTGGTTAAGATGAACTATACTGCTGAGAGGAAAACTACTACCTTTTTAGATTGGTGCTCTTGTCTTCCTTCAGTAACAGTAACATGTACTCAACTCTCACCTGGATGACAGATTTTTAAAAATGCAATAATGACTGGGGCGCCTGAGTGGCTCAGTCATTTAAGCACTTGCCTTCGGCTTAGGTCATGATCTTGGGGTCCTGGGATTGAGCCCCACATCAGGCTCCCTGCACATTGGGGAGTCTGCTTCTCCCTCTGTGCCTCCCCCTGCTTGAGCTCTCTCTCTCTCCAATAAATAAATACATAAAAACTTAAAAAAAAAAATAAAATGCAATAATGACTAAAATTAAATGATTTGCTTTGACTTATTTGACTTGTTTAGCAAAAGCTGACTGATAAGCCCTCACGTTAAGTGATGGTTAATTTCATGTGTCCACCTGGCTTAGACCACAGTGCCCAGCTGTGGTGCTAAACACTAGTCTGGATGTTGCTGTGAAGGTATTCTGTAGATGTGATTAACATTTACAATCAGCTGACCTGAAGTAAAGATTACCCTTGGTCATACTGGTAGGCCTCATCCAATCAGCTTAAGGAATCCTGCCTCAGGACTGTAACACAGAAATCTTGCCCGAATTTCCAGCCTGCTGGCCTGTCTTACAAATTTCAGATGTGCCAGTCTCCACAATTTCATGAGCCAATTCTTTAAAATAAATAAATCTCTCCCTCCCACACACACACACACACACACACACACACATCCATATATATAGTCTACTGGTTCTGTCTCTCTGGAGAGCACTGAGTGATACACTAGTTCCAAGGGGAAATATTATCATGCCATTGTATAAAGTCACAAACAGAAATAAAATCAAGCAGTTAAATGACATCCTGTAGAGTAATGACATATTCACAGTACTGACTGTGGTGGAAGAGGTACAGACATAGTGGAGCCCCTTCTAAGACAATCCTCAGCATGTTAGTGTGTGCTTCTAAAATTCCAGGATCTCACTTCCTGAAAGCAGAGACCATATATGTTCTTTAACAAAATGCTTTTGCCAGGCAAAGTAGCCTTAATACAAATTCTCGTATATTCTAATTTCTTTCCCAAAAAATACTACTGTTTCTGCCAAATGCCTTTTTGAGTTGAAATTGTAAGGCATTTTTAAATTTGGCCTGAATTTAGCCGTAAGACGAATACTTCCAGCCTTGTTCCTGCCACTCCCTTAACAGATTCCTGTCCACCAGCCCGTATCAAGCTCTCTGTGAGCATGTGTAGGTACGTTTTTAAATCTCCAATATTCTCCTCTGCAAGCCTGTAGCTGTTTCTGGAGGGCAGGAGTGCCGTCTTATTACCCAGCACAGTGCCTAGCAGACAGCCGAGGCTTTAGCACGAGACCGAGAGCCGCTGGGCGCTGTGCCAGCAAGCCTGGATCAGTCAGGGACTGTAACTGAAGCTCAGTGTTACCAACCATATACTCTTGAGGAACTCTATTTAATTTTAACTCTCATCACAAACGTGAGGTATAATGAAAGATCACTAAACTCAATAGCCACATATACTTGATTCATAGCTGAATCAGGCTCAAACAGGGAGACCTTGGTCTGCTTGTGTCAATACATGAGTCGTTCACTAAAAACACCTCTGGATGTGCCTTACTCTGGAATACTAAGGTTTCTCTACTTCGCTACACATTATAATCACCTGAGAGGCTTTAAGAACTCAAACCCTGCCCACGACCCCATTTTGGATTACCAGAATCTTTGGGGGAGGGGCATTGTCATCAATACTTCTTAAATAATAGCTCCCCAGGTGACTGAAGTGTGGCCATAGTGGGAATCACTGGGCTACCTGGATTTCATAGCCTTTACCAATGTCTCGGCTACGCTTGGTATGTGCTATGGACTTCAGGAGCTCTAGAGCTAATGACACTATGATTCCAGGTGAGTTCTAGAAACAGGGGTACAGTCTATGGAAGACTGAGGGAGTTTACAATTTCTCCTACAAAAACGCTGTAGTTGAAGGAAAAGGAATTGGCCAATTGGTCAAATAAAGAATAGGTACACTAATTTAGTTACCCTTAAAATTTAAATTTTTCAAGGAGGAATGGCATCAAGAAAATAATACCCGTTAAAATAATTCATCTAAAGATGATGTTATTCCACAATACCTTTTTGGCTTCCTCAGCTGTGACGGAACTTCCAGGGGCTTCATCTTTGGTGATCAGAGTAATTCCATCTAAAAAGTAATTCAGAGTGAAATCCCAGTGCAAAGCAATCCCAACCGTACCTTCCTCCCCACCACACCTCCTCCCATCTCTACATTAGAGATTTTTAAAACTCCACAGATGCTCTTCTCTATAAGAAATGGAAGACTGTGAAGGCACTTAACTCACACTGTTCCTTCCATCTTATATTATCCTGTTTCCTACTTAGCCTGTGTAAAATAAAGGCCACATCTCAAATGCTATCTGCTGCATGAAGTCTTCCCTGATTAAATCTCTCCTTCAGAGTTTTCAGATCACTCTGTTTATGCCTTTGAAGTTGCTGTCATCATATCTTACCTTGTGTAACTATGTGTACATATTTTTTCTCTCTTAATGGACCATACTTTTCTCAAGGGCAGGGAATGGGTTTTATTCATCTTTCTATTCCCTTCAATGTAGGCATGGCACAAGCTCAGTAAATAAATAACTGAATGACTATATACTTTGGCCCAAACCCATTAGATACCCAATATAGGAAGCTGCAGACATTCTGACTTCTAGTAATGTTACTGGCTACTGATGGAATGGCAAGAGGCCCAAGGCTGGGAGGAAACATGCTCTCACAATGGTTATGTCTATCATTTAGCACATACATCAATTTTAGCTCAGTGAGAGCAATTCAAGGATAGAAAATCTACCCTTCAGTTTTCTCTTCTTCCTAAGATTTTCTTCTGCCTCAAATGTCTAATGCATGATAAACTTTCAGAAAAGCACATACATCTAACATCCATTTATACGTAGAAATGGCACAGGTCATGTGTATTAGGATATAAACTCTCAGAAAATATGTACCTTGTGTATGTCCTGTAAGTTTCCTTTCAGCAAACAATATGCTGGAGGCAATCAATAAACACCAAAACCAATCTCCTTCATCTACTAGGTCGGCAGCAGAGACACCAGAGTGATTTGAGTAAGCCCCATTCACCACCTATTCTAATTGCTTTTGCTCCCCAGTGTAGAAGTTAAAGGGCTGAAAAATTAACTGTCAGGGAAATAGTTGCCTGAGTGATGAAAAGCTGCCCCTTAGAAGCTGGATAGATAGATATGCAACTCCTTTTTACAGAGTTTGCACAGAAAGGTTGAAACTAATCTGAGGGCCCTACTTCAAGTGAAAAGTTTCACAATTTACAACATCATTGCTTTCATAAGAGGTTTTTTTTTTTTTTTAAAGATTTTATTTATTTATTTGAGAGAGAGAGAATGAGAGACAGAGAGCATGAGAGGGAGGAGGGTCAGAGGGA